CAAGGTACTTCTTAGAAGTTGTCAGATTTATTTCAAAAAAGATTTTTGTAATATGCTTTCTATATCCTTTTAAATTCTATAAAATCTGTGGTAATGTCTTCTAGATCTTGATATTGTAATTTAAAAAATGTATAGTTGATATTGTGTAATAGGAAGTAAAGGTCTAAAGGAGTAGGGGGAGTGGGAGGGGTAGGGGAAAGGAAAGAAGGGAAAAAATATGAGAAAAGGAAAAAAATGGAAACAAAGTCTTTGCAAATAGAGAAGGGAGAGCGGGGAAGGGAAAAAAATAAGAACCAAGAAACATCATTTAAAGGTACAAGATCCTAATGATGAATGTAACTGTATTTTATACCTAAAATGTACCAGTAAACTTAAGGAAAAAAAATAAGTGCACATATGTTTTTTAAAAGTTCCACATAATGACATTATTTTCCCTGTGTGTATTCTGTAACTTGTAACTAAGGAAAGACTTCACTGGCTAGCAAGTACTACATGTAAGTTCATGATGTATTAGATTGATGATGATGAAATAAATTTTATCTTTTCTTATATCCTATGGATTGTTACTCATATTCTGATACTAAGCCTAACTTTTTGGATTAAAACAGATGAAATTATATTTAATCTTTCTAGATTCTAGGGAGAAGAATTACAATCTAGTTTACTTGAAATTGTCACTCTGGTTTGGTTCCTAAAGAATGGAAATGTGTTTTCTGTGTGAGATATTTAGATGCTTTTTATGTATTTGGGTAATGGAATAATGGCAGATGTTTGAAATGACATAATCATAAACACAAGGAGAAAATACGTCAAGTTTTAAAGTTTGACTTTTATTTATTGAGAATTCAGGTTTATACTTTCTGGATTCTAAGTTGTAAAGAAATTCCTACGCTTTCCAGGCTTAATATGAGAGAAGAAACTTCATTACTGAATCTAAAAGAAGTAAATGAATCCTTCTTTCACATAAATCATATAGGAAAAATGTCCACTAGAGCTGAACAAATGTTTCATATTAGCAGTGTATTGCCTTAGGCTGTAATTTTAGTAGATAGTGAGGAAATATTTACAGTTTAATTTTATGTTAAGTTTCATAAGCATAAAATATCAATCTCTTGAGTGATGTGTATAATGTAGAATGAGTTTCTGTAATGGCAATCTGCTCATTGATTGCTTTATACTTTTAAAAATGGTAATGCACACTGGTATCATTATACTTAGTAGTGTGAGGGCTTCCGATATAAACTCCAGTTTTGTGGGTTTATCACTCAGTCATAAAAGTTTTCCCTGAGTTAAAATTAAACACACAAAGTCTGCTAGAGAGTGCTTTCTACTTCACAAATGATGACAGAAGAAATTTGGAAAGAAATATCAGTCCATTTACCTAATCCATTCATTGCTTTTTAGCAGTTATGAATGAGATGAAAATATTTATC